TCCTCCCAGCCCCTCACAATGCATGGAGGTGATCCACTTATGAGAAACACAAAGCTCAGGAGACTAATGGAGCTGGGTCTCTTATGCTCATTCTGGTAGAATATATTCTTTAATGGTTGGCAGAAATGACCCCTTATTGAGAAAACAAAGCAAAACCTACCAAAAAAAACAACAACAAAACCTTGTGCATATTTGTGTGTGTGTGTGTGTGTCTGTGTGTGTGAAAGGCCATGACTATAGTTGAAAATATATGTTAAATGTCCTTTGGATTTAGCATCACTGTGAGCATGTATTATGTTTATTTCCTTACTAGATGCCCGTTGCAGGAAGAATAGGGCTTCGCTCCTGTCTCTGCCACTCCTCCCCCACCCTTCTCTGCCATTCCTACCCCGCCCTTCTCTGCCATACCTACCCCGCCCATTTCTGCCGCTTCTCTCCCGCCCATTTCTGCTACCTCAGTTCCGTTGCTTGGCTTCCTTCTACAGTGTCTTCAGTCTTCGCTCCCAGCCGGTATATGCAAATTAGCCGCCATCTTTGTTGGTGTCTAATTTGCATATCACTCTGATTAGCCTGTGGTGGGCATAGTGAAGGTATGGTCAATTTGCATCTTTGTCTATTATTAGATAGGATTTTGAATCATTTTCTCTTGGTAGACTCTAAACTCAATGAATGTATGCTATCTGGTTCACCACCACATCTCCAAAGCTAAGTAGCATGCCAGGTTTCATTAAATATTTACATATTAACAGGCACAGTTGTGATGTTTAAGAGCACAGACTCTGTCACTTGGCAGCTGAGGTTTGAATCCCTGCTGTGCTGCTACTAGCTGTGGGACCATGGGCAGCCTCTCTGTGACTCAGTGTCCTCATCTGAAAAATGGGATACTTACTATATCAATGTAGATGGACTAAGACTTAAGTAATACTCCAACAACAAAGCCCCACATCCCAGTGCCTTAAAGTGACAAAGGCTATTTTTTCCTTGTCACATTACATGTTCATCATAGGTTGGTCAGGACTCTCTGTGTAATCCATTCCTCACTCCATGACCCAAGCTGCCTGAGCAGGCAGAGCTGGCACTACCTGGCACAATGCCAGTTGCCCTAGTGCAATGAAAAGAACATCCTTCAGGGTCAAACATTGGTAATAAAATGCTTGACCTGAAAGTGACATAGGTCATTTCTGCTTACACATTGTGCAGAACTAGCCAGAGGGGTCCAGGGAACACAACCCTTCCATGTTCCCAGGAGGTAGAGAGGCCAAAAGATACCACCGTCCTAGGGTTATCATGGCTGTTAAAGGGCTGTGGCCATAAAGCATTTGGAAGAGCATCTGGCACCTTGCTACATGCTATATAAGTGTTTGCTACTGCCATTATTATCATTAAATTCATATTTTTTGGAAGCCGTTATAAAGTCAATGTTTAGGTGTCTCCTTTTTAAACTGAATTTGCCTAATGGTGGTTTTTCTGCTGTTCTCCTTTGGGTATCAGTGAGTGCCAAAGTCCCATCAAGCAGACACTTACCCACCTTCAGTATAGAGCAGTGATGGCGAACCTATGACATGCGAGTCAGAGGTGACACGCGAACTCATTTTTTTTGGTTGATTTTTCTTTGCTAAATGGCATTTAAATATATAAAATAAATATCAAAAATATAAGTCTTTGTTTTACTATGGTTGCAAATATCAAAAAATTTCTATATGTGACGGCACCAGAGTTGAGTTAGGGTTTTTCAAAATGCTGACACACCGAGCTCAAAAGGTTCGCCATCACTGATATAGAGAGCAGCCCACAGGATGCCCCTCCAGCTCACCTGTCTCAAGATGACTTTTGCAGCCCAACTGGATGCAGAAAAGCAAACCCAGGTGAGCGTGCCAAAGGGAAATGAACCCTAGCAACTTTCAGGTGCTGTGAGCTGTGAACATCCTAGCTGTAAATGTGTTTCACACAAAAATATTTATGCTTCAAGCTGCAGCATGCATACAGCAATCTGTATTTATAGGTTTCAGATGCCCATTTCCTCCAGCTCCGGTTCTCCTTTGTGTTATATAAACAAATCTCAACCATCGGGCCCATAACAAGCCGCACTGAAGTATGTATGTGCTCATGCCTAGCAAAAGCCTCAAATCAAAATACAATCTCACAGAAAAGGAGTGAACATCATGGCCCTCACAAGGCTGTTTTAAAAGAGTTCTTTAGGTGCCAGAACTTAGAATTTAAATAGGATAGCAGGAAGGGGCATATCAGATTCTTTGTCACTCTGATTAGCAGGAACAAACATAACCAGAAGATAATATCCTCTTACCTATATTAAGAGAAGTACAATCCAGTACCTTCCAAGTCACCTCAGAAAGGAAAAGGGCTTAGGAGCAGTGTCTCAGACAGGTGGGAAAATAGAGGAAAGATGGCTACAGAAGCAAAACCTTTCATTCCTATTCTGCTAAGGAAGTTAAAATGCATGCTTTATAAGAATGGCAAGAAACAAGCTAAATCTAGCTAATCAATATCAAGAAAAAAGAATTCTGCCAAAACAAGTTACACATGTTACCGCTTACCCACCGGGTCCTCTGAAATGAACACTAAGCATCATTTCTGCTATCTTATCTCCCTGATATACTCCCAGGCACCTTCTCAAAGCCAAATATTTTAGCCAATCACCATGGCCAGCCTTGCCCACAGGCAAAAACAAGTGCTAAAAAGGTTTCTTGCTTTTTTTCCTCTCTGCCTAAAAATATCTCCCCACTAGTATAGCTCAGCGCCCCAAATGTGCACCCTTTGGGAAAGATAACTATCATCAGACTTCATAGTTCAGATTCATGAACTTTGAAAGTTGTCTAAGAAGTTCCTGAGAGAGTGGTGTATAAGACAATGAGCTTTATTAAGGCAGTGAAAAAATGGAGGTATAGAGAAGAAGACAGTATGAAACTTGAAGACAAACATGTGGCAGTGAAAATGAGGAACACTTTTTCCCCTAGAATCCCAGGGATCATGCCTCCTGGCTATTGTCAACTCAAGTGGTATCTGATAATCTTGCTTTGTCACCTTTAAACTGTATATATGTAATTAAATCAAAATGTAATCAAATCAAAATGTAATCTGTACCCGATTATTTTATATCCTAGAACCTAGCAAATCTCCATTTCCTGTCTGATTTAATAAGTTTAATCATGTAGACATTGGCTAAGTATAAAATTCACCTTCTTGGCTAAAAATGTGATCCAAATAATTTGAACCTCATTCCACTGAACTACATATACATATATACATCTGGTTGATTTCACCTCAATATTTTATCAAGGTTATTTTAAAACCAAATACTATCTGTAAAGATGCAAAATACCAACTTTGTATTCAAAATAAATGAGAATATTTTGTAATCTATGATTCAATGACAGATTAGAATATCAAAATAGATCTGGGCACATTGCCATGAACTCTGCCCAACCCTCGGGCTTTCCACATAACCAGTTCTGTTCCCTGATCAGCCTTTCTTGAGCAGCACTCCTGAATGAGATTAGCTCTTTCCTAGGTGTTTTTATTGTTGTTATTGTTTTAATCTACTGGGAAATATTTAATCAGGAAAGTTTCAAAATCCCCATTCAACCTCTAAGGAAAATCCTTCTAATTGTTGATATTTAAGTGAATAGCTGATAAAATGAGAAAACATGGAACCTTGTTGCATAGTTAGCCTCAGGTAGATTTCAGGGGAAATTACTTGCTCTGAGTAAATTACAATCTGTGTTATAACCTGGTTATAATCCAAGTAAAATTGAGTAAAATTCTCAGTTTCTGTGCTATTTTCTGACTTCAAATAATCCAGTGATGACAGCTCTGGAGGTTCTAATCACATCTAAGTGCTTAGATTTCAAGCTATTTTTAGTCCATTTTTTTTCAATCATTCAACTCCAAAATAATAGCATGATAAAAACTATCTTTAAATAGCTTGAAATAATTCCTAATCCTCTGGGCTATCAGAATTGCTTACAAAACTCATAAAATCCAGGGGGGGAAAATACCATAGGTAATTATTTTCAGACAACAGAGTTTGGACTTCAGCAATTGGCAAAAACTGTTTTTGAAAGAGCAAAATCATAAATCCTACCCTTAATCTCACACAGAGCCACATACTTCGGTTTTAGAAAAAAGGCCCTTCTTCCCCCAAATGTCTGCCATGTTTTATAACATAAGATAATAGTGGATATTTACAATTAGAAATCCATGTCCACAAGGGAAGGTTTGATCATTTGATCTACTTACACAACACACTCAAAAGGCCAGAAAATTCTGAAATGGAAGATCTCCAAACAGAATCTTTACTCTGATTTCGAAGAATACCTACACTAAGTCAAGTTTGTCTCTTCAAGTGGGAAACTTCATTTTCTGGAAAATGCTTGTACACAGACAACCTCATTCTCAAATCATTTCAAATCAAGGAGTTAACCACTTTCATTCACATTCTTATAACACACGCATAATAATTCCATCCTCTGTGGAATCAATGAGCAAGATTTAGAGGGCCAACACCAAATTACCTTTCTTATAACTGCTGCAGTTCTTGGATGAAAGCTATTTTTAGAATATTCATCCAACTTCAGGAGAGATAGGGATGAAACAGAGCTTGTGCTGTTTTGAGGAAGGTGAATTATGTTGTTGGCATAATAGGGGAAGATAATTTGATAATTTCTTTTTTTATGACATCTGTTTCCTAGCCCAAGGGATATCGCCTGCAATCACTGTTCCTAACACCACTTGTTTTGTTAGAGAGACCTGTGAGTCGCAGAGGACAAGATTTGATTCAACACAGTCTCATCTACCACCTTGTCACCAGTACCTCCAAAGTTAGCCAGTCATAGAACAGGCCTTTCTCCTCCTGCTCTGTGAGCCAAGAATAAAACCAACTACAAGTTTCAACCACTTCAAAACGTCAGTCACAAGGGAGCCATGGACATATTTTGGGCTAATGCCACAGAGCCCATGTTTCAGGAGCAGGAAAGCCTTACCTTGCTTTCTTCTCCTTCAAACACTGACTGGTGAACGTTGCATGCAAACAAGGAGTTGGGGAGGTCGTTGAAGTCGGTGATCGCTTGGAAGGCTTCCTCTGCGAAGCACTGAGTTACAGCCCAGTCCCTGTCTATGCAGCAGAGCAAGAACAGTCCTTCATCGTCTGCGATGTGTCCTTGCTGCCCCGGGTTCCTCATTCCAATGAAGTAAGAGTCTCCCCTCATACCTGAGGATGCAAAGCCAAACACGTGTCAGAGTAGAATTTGATGATTCCTTAAAACTTGGTGTTCACGTCACGGCACCGGAGAGTCTGGGGCAGAGCAGGGGAGGAGGATCAGGAGGAGAATCAGGGGCTATTGGAGACCCAACAAGTTCATGTTATCCCCTTGACCTCTGAGTCACAATTTCCCATACAGCTCTGCTTCTGGGCAAGAACCAGTCAGTGCTATGGGATGAAAAAAAATCCAAAAACAATCCTCCAAAAGGAGTTGGAAGCCAGGGGCTCAAGCCAAGGTGCTAGTGTTTACTAGAGGCGGGACCTGGGAAAGTTACACAGTTATCTGAGCCTCTGCTTCATTATGAGAGTCAAATGGACTCAAACAGAAAAACATGTGCGAAAGAGCTTTGATATGTTCGTTACATGATGAATTTATACACCACCACCACCAATGCCTAGACTTTATTGAGTTCCTGGAACTGTTCTATGATTTACATGCATTAAATAACCCATCTAACCTTGACAATAGTCTATGAGATGGGTTCCAATATTATCTCCATTTTACATTTGGGAAAACTTGGGAACAAAGCAAGGTAAGAAACGTTTACAAGGTCAATGGCAGGACTTGGATTCAAACCCAGGGAGTTTGGCAACAGAGCTCACTTTTCTATAACTTAGAAATCAAGCAGATCAAAATTAGTGCAAGTCTATAGTTAAGGCAGTGCAACCTACTTCGTTTCCACCTGAATCCTGATTACAGTTACTCTAATAATTAACAGTTTACCCACTATGAGGACTCTCACACACACACATCTTCTGCATGGGATGCTTACTCTAAGTAATTTTGTGAACCTTGGATCTTGAAAAATCAAGTACTATTTTGGCTCATCACCCCCAACAGGAAGCTTTCTAGTATTAATCTCATCTGTGTTCCATAATTTTATTTCCTCACTCCTTACATTCAAAATTCTACCCAACTGCAACCAGTTGGAAAGTTGTTGTTTTTCCATTTTTTGATACTAGTCTATAATGCAGTACATTTTATCCATCTCCCCAAATACTTCAATGAGAGTCCCTACATTTTTCTTTTGGGGCCTATCATAATATTATGTTCAAATGTCAATATTTAGAGGCCTAGAAGGCCATACAACTTGCCCATGGGTATGCAGATAAGACTGACAGGCAGTTATGATGTGGCTCCTGGATCATCTTCTGTAAACTCCTTTCCCCTAACCCCAGCATGGCACAGCCTCAGAATAAAGAACAGAAAAGTGCTACCATGAGATGTCACTCAGCCCTCCTGACGTTTAAACACAAAGTCTGAATCCCCAAACAAAAATAAGTTTCTGCTTATATTTCTCTTGAACTCTGGTGATGAGGTTATGATTTTTGTTTTTATTTTTCCTGGAAACAAAACCCAAATGGGACCCTGATAAGCAGTATTTGATGACAATATAAATAATGCCTTATATATAAAATCTTGGGCCTGGTTGGGACAGAGCCAAAAATTGGAAGAATTTGAAGTAGTAACTCTAAAACCAGGTCACTGTAATTATGGTCAATAAAAATCTTATTCTATATAAAATATAATAAAACCATTCCCATATTCTAAAGTTCTTAAAACTCCAATTAATGCAATATGTTATGTGTGGGAATCAATAAAATATTTATTCTAAATAAAAATATGGTACACATTTTAAGCTTTGTTTTGTTCTGTGGTTAATACAAAATATATGAATATTTTTAACTAGAAGGAAAAACTTCAATGAAATACTTATATGTATTTATTTTTCTTCATAATCAATTATACTGTTCCTTCAATATTTTAGTATAATATACATAATGGCCATCATTTATTATTAGAGTATAATTATTTTAATAGTAAAAATAATAACTAAGAGCATTAAAATGGTATTATTTTTTATAAATGGATTATAGAAAAATTTTTAGATAATGAAGTCATAATCATCTAGTGGCATGAAACATAGATATTAAGTATCAATTCTGATTTTACTTTTAATCCTGTCCCTCTTATTTACAAATTTTTAAGTTAATCAAAATGGGTCCCAAAATGTTATTAAACAGGTCTGAGAATGTTGCAATTATTCTTTTTCAAAAAGAATTAAAATCTATTGCTGAACAAATTAACTAAATAGATCAAATAATAAGCCTCACTCAGGACTCATTTTAATCTACTTAAATGGTCTTAACTTCTGTTCTAAATTGTAACAATAAGATTATCTTCCTGAGACTTTATTTTAAGCTAATTACTTTCAGTAAAGATTTAAAAGGTGAATGCATTTTGGCAAACAATCTATTCTACTTCTATGGAGAAGTATTTGAGAAGTCAGAGCTTTGAACAAAGAAACTCTAACTTCCAGTTCCATTACTGACTCACCTCATAATTTAGAAAAGTCAACTGATTGTTCTATGACTCAGTTTATTCCTATAAAACAGAGTAGGAAGAGGCGGAGGAGCGAACTAGGAATGAAAGAAGTAATCAAAATCAGCATTAACCTCTACATAAAAGGATATGCAACATGAAATCCTATAAAGAGACACCATTATGATAATCTCAGAGCAAGGTTATTATTCTTTGGTATGATCACTCACTTTTAGTAAAGCCAAATATGCAGAAAGAAAGGGAAATTCTGAAGATTAAAAGAACTCCCTAATAAAGAAATGCAAAGGTCCTACCATCCAAAACTAGTTTATCTTTCTAAATTAATTTTAAAACTCTTAAATATTGTGAAATATCTTTTGAGGCAACAATTGCCTCATATTACAAGATCTACATGCGTTGTCCTTATTTCTAAATCTGAGGTTGGTTATCCAAGAGAAAAGAGCTGCCTTCGGCTCAAGGGGCAACTCTTCTGGGAATTCTCCCAACCTCCCCGACGGCCCATGAAGGTGGCCTCCTTGCTTTGTCCCTCGGTGACCTGCACAGCCTTCTCTCACGGAAGTGCCCTCACTATGACAACTGTTTTACTGTACTATGTCTCAAACATAGATGGATATTGATGGATATTTCCTTAGAGCAGAGGCTGGACTGTCTTCATCAGTGTGTACATTACACTTCATGTTCAGCCTGGTTCGTATAGAAAGCCCACAAAATGATGTTTGACTGAATTAATGAATTATGTAAAAAGGAGTCACTTTCAGGAAATAACAGACCATCGAATGAGTTATAATGGCCGATTTGAAATATGAACACTAATAATATACTATTTATTTCAAATGTATACACGAATAATGGAAAGCACCCAATCATTTCAATTCAAGGTTTGGTTTATGTAATTTTATAAATCAAAGATAGCAAGAATTATTCAAAGGATTCCTCTGGCTAAAGTTTTTAAAAATCTGTGCAGTATAATTAAAATAACATTTATGGTTTTGATTATATGAGTTCACTAAGAAAAAAAACTGAAAAAAATCACAATGATATATACAAAAGGAAAACAAAATTACACGCTAATTCTACTATACAGAGGAAACTCTGCTAATTACACCATAACCCCACTATACAGAGGAAACTCTGCTAATATTTTGGTATAGTCAGTTTTGGTGCCTTTCTCACCTGTATAATTTTTTAAATAAAATTGAGATTTTGCCATTTAGTATTCGGCTTCTTTCAGAAAACATGGATATAATCAAGAGCAGTTCCCTCTATCATTATATATTCTTTGAAACATTCATTTTAACAGCCACATAGGAACCCAGTGCCATAGTTATTTCACCATTCTTCTGTTCGACTTTTGGAAAGCATACATTTCCAGCATCACATGCATCAGAAAAAGAAAAACCACTATCCACTTTAAAAGCCTCCCCTGGAAGAACCTCAAAATGTCTTTCTATGCAAAGAAGAGACATCCTTTTGAAACACCGGAGAGAGCCCTGGGGGTGTACTTGGGTTCTAGTCATTATGTAAACTGGTGCCTCCTGGCTGTGGGTTTTTTGTCAGCAAAATGGAGAAACACTGGGGCCTTGTCTACTGTGTGACCATCAAATGAAATGAAGCAAGTGAACGTCTTCTGGAGCCTCCAAGATAATACTTGAGTGAGAGTTATTTATTACCATGTGTAGGCTTGTCAAGAGCAAGTCAGTAGTGGAGGAACCTGCCACTACAGAGAGGCTGCCATCTACTTCTGGCAAGTGTGTAACTAAGTTTCCAACTTCCAGCGAATGTGCATGAGGGTTAGGACCATATCATTAAAATGAGGAACGATTAGAGATACCCCTTGAATATTTGATATGAGCCTAGTTGGAGATTCCATTAGAAGGGAAAGAAATTCCTAAGAAAAAAAGAAAGTAATTAACATAAAAGAAACAAAACAACCATGCCTCTCCCCAAGACACCACCAACAGGATAGATTATTTAAATGTTACAAAGTTAGTGGCACTGAGAATATGAATTTGACGCACTTTAATGGAGAAGGAAGCCTGGAGAGAGGAAGATTTTTTTCTTGTTTTAAAAATTTTATTTATTGAGAGAGAGCGAGAGCGAGAGCGAGAGCGAGAGATTTTTTGTCCCACTTATTGATGCACTCATTGGTTGATTCTTGTATGTGCCCTGACCGGGGATAGAACCCACAACCTTGGCATATTGGAATGATGCGCTAACCCAATTGAGCTACCTGACCAGGGCAAGAGTTTCAACTATTTCATTACTTTTCTATAATGTGAAAATGATTTCATCCAAGATCCTCAGATAGCCTAAAAGCACTTATGAATGGAACATTAATAAAACATTAAAATTGAAACAGTATGTTTCCTACTGTTAAGACTAGCCATCTGAAACTTAAAAATATCTGTTCAGTGTCAAAGAAATAGTGATTGAATAAATGGTTGTTGTGTAAATAGTAGATAAATGTTCTCTTCCCCAATAAACTTGGATGATCTAGATATTACTGGGTTTCTACACGTGGAATTAATCTTTCCAAAACTCCCTACTTCCATTCCTAACATTTATATGGTACAATTAAACCCCAGGAAGGGACCTCAAAGAGACA